GTAGTAATGTAGGCTAATAATAATAAAATAATAATAATAATAACAATAACAACAACAACAATGATGATGATAATAATAATAACAACAACAACAACAATAATAATAATAATAATAATAATAATAATAATAATAACAACAATGATGATAATAATAATAACAATAATAACAATGTATAGGGAGGCGGTGGCCCTGGTGAAGAGCACGCTCTGCGGGGCTCCGAACACTTCGAACGGATAGGCTACCACACACACACACACACACACAGACACAACAACAATAACAATAATAATAATAATAATTATAATAATAATAATGGTAATAATAATAATAATAATAACAACATCAACAACGATGATAATAATAATAACAATGATAATAATGATAATAATAATAATAATAATAATAATAATAATAATAATAATAATAATAATAATAATAATAATAATAATAATAATAATAATAATAATAATAATAATAACAACAGGCTACTACTACTACTACTACTACTACTACTACTACTACTACTACTACTACTACTACTACTACTACTACTACTACTACTACTACCAATAATAATAACATTTTATGTGACGTACTTTAAAAGTCACTTTTAATTCAAACTGTTTTTGCCTTTACTTTCATATTTTGACCGTTGTCCCCTTTGCTAAACATACACGCAAACCACAATTGAATTATAATGATTAAAATTAAGGCGAAAATTGACAAAAGCGAGACACACTGGAACTCTTGGGTAAACAAAAAGTATATATAGACAGGAAGATCTTGCCAAATGGTACTTGAAATGACTGCTCTTTCTCGTAACGATACTGTACAAATTGATGGCTTTTTATTGATTTATGCTATTTAAGTATTTTGAAAAGACAAATAAACTCAAAGTAGTATTTCAATTTAAATAAGTTGATGGAATGTCCTTCCATTGGCCACAAAAAGTGAAAAATGAAATATGTGTATTGAAAACAACGATGTCGTCTTGCTTTACCTGGCAGTACCGGTAAATTCGAATCGTAACAACAACTAGGTAGACCTGGAAGAGAGAGCAGGCTACGCAACAACTAACTTCTAAAGAGATACTGTGACTCTAGATCAAGATCTAGAAGAATTTAATGTATTGAAACTTTGGACTTGAAAGTGGGCTTTGTGAGCGATAAAAATTTGAAATTGTTTTAAACAATGGGTTCTGAAGAACACGAGTGGGAACTTAGTAAAGAGAATGTTCAACCACTGCGCGGAGGACGCGAAATGGCAAGCCTTGCCATGGGTCTTCATTCTGATCATGGAGCTGAACACGAGATAAAAGCTAAACAGAAGTAAGTTTGTGGGGTTGGAAATTAGGCTACAATAAAGGGTAAATTTTTGCTTTCACTCCCGCACACAGATGCACTGCTACTGCTTCAGGGGTCAATCTACACTATTAGTTAAGGCCACCTCTATTTTCACCCGGAGTGAGAATAGTGCAGGCGAGTCTTGTGGCTATTCTCACCCGGTGCGCGTTCACCAAATTTTGCGTTCACCCTAAACCACAGAATTCTACACTGTGATAACAGAAAAATTGTAGAATTCTGTGCCGTGAACAAACGTTCCATTACAATTTTAGCCTACTAAAAAGCGTACAATTTTGTCTGTGGGCAGTGGAGAGAGAGAGAGAAAGAGAGAGAGGAGTAGCGCGAGAATTTCCGGGCAAAACAAAATGGCGACCCGCGTAGTTCGGCTCGATTCGAAAAGTTAAATAGCCGTAGCATCTTTGTAGACAACCAAATTTATTTACTTTTGTGTTTTAACATCATTTTTTAACTTTGTTTTGGTCAATTTGATCATCCACACCGATAGACAGTATTCAGAAAGAGACAGAGAGAGAGAGAAGAGGGGAGAAGTTGATCTTGCGAGAACTTCCGGGCGGGTGAGAATAGCCACTTTCATTAGTTAAGAGTTAAGTTAGTATTGTTTTGCTGAGATATTGATACTGACAAAAATATTCTGTATCAATGTTCTATCAGTATCAGTAGATCTAGATTAGATCCAGCCTACAAAATGAGCATTAAAAATTCACTAGTTATTAACAAGGGAGGGGGGTTTCAGGGGGGCAAACAAAAACTTGGAGAGGGGGGGGGGGGGGGTTCAGGGGGGCATGCCCCCCTGAATTTGAACATAATTTGATGTTTTGCAATTAGCCTAGGTTTGATAGGCTATCTCTCCATATCGGCACACTCATCAAAAAGTAATCATTTAGAACCAGAAGTAATCGTCGATGGGGTAAAACTAATATGACCAAACGGGACCCAGATTCTTAAGTAGTACCATATAACATACATAACATAAAGAACGAAGTGACTATTCGGACTCGAGTCCGAATATTAAAAAATGTTCTTCGGACTCTGATTCTTGTCCAGCATGACAACACTTCCGACTTCCTGTGACTCGTGACTCCGGCTTCCTGTCCTGCCTCACTCGTGACTCGCCTCAGGCTGGGTAGAGACCAGGATCACTTTGGGCAAAATCATCATTCAAAATGGCGTTAAATTGTGCCGAAGCCGAGTTTTTATCATGATGAATTTGAGGCCGGCCTGAAAAGTTAGAGCGCTTCTAATAAATGTTTGACCCGGCCGGCACTATTTCTACGAACGTTCAGGAAAATAAAGCTGGGCACTATTTCTCCGAACACTCTGAAATCACACCCTTACCCGCATATTTCGGATAATA